AGCATAGCAGACCAAATAAACATTGATAGAGAAACAGTTAGGAAAATCTTAACTGAAAATCTTGGCATGATAAAGGTGTGTGCAAAAATGGTTCCGAAGGAGCTTTTGCATCACAACAATGCACCAGCTCCCACAGCACTATTTGTGAGGGAGTTACTAGCCAGTAAACAAATAACTGTAGTGGAACATCCTTCCCACTCACCTGATTTGACACCCAATGACTTTTTCTTTACCTGAAGATAAAGGAAATATTGAAAGGAAGATATTTTGATGACATTAAGGACATCAAGGGTAATATGATGACAGCTCCGATGGTCATTCCGGAAAAAGAGTTCCAAAATTGCTTTGACAGATAGACTAGGCATGGGTGTTGGTGAATTTCACTATGCCATTGTAGTGATATTCAGCAATATGGTATGTAGCACTTTTTCTAGGATGTGTTTGTGAACTTAACCGTCAGACCTCATGTGTGTGCATAAGCACGTGTGTGTGTGTGTCTGAGTGTGTGACCTTATAAGCATGTATATCTGTGTTAGTGTGCATAAGCATGTGTGTGTGTGAAGATGGGTGTGTGTCAGCATATGTGTACAAGCATAGTATGCATGAGTGTGTATAAATGTGTGTACATGAGTGTGTGAGCATGTGTATGCATACTCATAAGCATATGTATGTGTGTATATAATCATGTGTGTGTATGTTAGTGTGTGAGCATGTTATGTGAGCATGAGTGTCTATGTTAGCATGTGCATTATTTGAGTGTATGTATGTGTATATAAGCATGTGTGTATGTGTGAGCATGTGCATATAAACATGCATGTCTGTGTGAGAGTCTCTGTGAGTATGTGTGTGTTCATGAGCATGTGTGTGTGTATAAGCATGCGTGTTAGTATGTGAACATGTGTGTGTTGGGGATGGGAATGTAGAGAACCCATGTACCTGAAGGAGAGACTGTGATACCCACGTCATGCCAAACTCCTCTTGAGAGTAGCCATATATAACCCGTATGATTGCTAAAGTTTGTCATATTATAATACACTATGATAATGTTTCTTTGACAGAGAAGGAATGCTTTATCTAATGACAATAAGAGTAGTTTCATTTTCTGACAAATGACATTTATAGTTAATGGACTTAACATGTCCTACAAATCATTCTGTATTCTGTTTAAAGTACATTTGTCCTGTGTGCCTTGTGGCTTACTTGTGTGTACATGACAGGCTGGCAACCTTGTACAGGGGTGATTTTTAGTCTCAGGCTGGAACCCGCAGGACACAAGCCATAGGGGTTCCTGGCTCCCCAGGACACCTGGGTTGCAGGGCAGACTCATTTAGATGTGAAGGGGAACTTGAAGGGAAAGGCTGCAGAACGTCAATCCACTGAAAGAATTGATGACTGAATTCTTCTGAGGATAATGCAGTTAAGGGGTTCACAAAAACTTCTAAGTCACGTTAAAACAAAACATCACAGGCCAGGCTTGTGGCTCAGCCTGTAATCCCAGCACTTTGGGAGGCTGAGGTGAGTGGATTGCCTGAGCTCGTGGGTTAGAGACCAGCCCAGGCAGCTTGGCGAGACCTTGTCTCTACAATGAATCAAAAATTAGCCAGGTGCAGTAGTGCGTGCCTGTAGTTCCGGCTACTTGGAAGGCTGAGGCAGAAGGACTGCCGGAGCCCAGCAGGACGACACTGGGGGGGGCTGTGAGCATGCCACTGCACTCCAGCCTGGGCGACAAAACAAACTGAAAACAAAAACAAAAAATCCTTGTGTCATTGAAAGAGGCCTGGGAACCCATTTAGGCAGAATGGCAAAAGGAAGATCACCGGCAAGGAGCCCACAGGCAGCTCCTTGGCTGATTTCAGTGATGAAAGTATGGAGGTATGTCAGCTGTGTTCTTTTTAAAAAGAAAGTATCATTGTTTTTTATTTTTTATTTTATTTTATTTTTTTTGAGTTGGAGTCTCACTCTGCTGCCCAGACTGGAGTTCAGTGGCCGCTCCCGGCCACCGCAGCCTCGCCTGCTGGGCTCCGGAGATCCTTCCATCTCAGCCTTCCAAGTAGCTGGAACTACAGGCGCGTGCTACCACGCCCGGCTAATTTTTGATTTATTGTAGAGATGAAGTCTCGCCAAGTTGCCCAGGCGGGTCTCGAACCTGCGGGCTCAGGCAATCCACTCACCTCAGCCTCCCAAAGGCGTGGGATTACAGGCTGAGCCACCAAGCCCGGCTGTATCATTGTTTTTTAAAGACAGGGTCTCCATCTGTCACGCAAGCTGGAGTGCAGTTTCACCATCATAGTTTGCTGTAACCTTGAACTGCTGGCCTCAAGAAATCCTCCCACCTTGGTCTCCCAAAGTACTGGGATTATAGGTGTGAGCCACTGCACCTGGCTTTAATTGCGTTCTGAAGGGTGCATGGGTTCCCCCTTCCATAAATCACCCTAGACTACCTATGGTGCTAGACCAGCCACTTGTTGAGAAAGCCTGCTTACCACCTACATCCTCTGTGTCCAGAAATGAGTTATTAAAGGTCCTGAGTGGGTGGGGCAATGTTTTAAACACAGGAAGGGGGATCAAGCTCTCGGGGATGACATTGATGTCTGTTTGGAGCAGAGTAAGAACTAGATAAAGACTGACCAGGCTCCCCTGCCTCTGAGCTACCAGTCTATTGTGCGGAAGAGGATGGGTGTCGACACCCAAGTTACACCTACCAGTGACTCATCTGGTTCTGAACCTCACAGATATGTGTCTAGAATGTGCCTCCAGAACTCTGTATCCAGGCTCTGATCTCAGCAGAGAAGCCAGTGATCCCTTCCCTTCCCTGACTGCCTCACCACCAGTAGATACAGAGGTAGGTGGGGAGGGTCTCCTCTGTGCCTTGTTTCTGGGATCAGCCCACAGGGTAAGGTCAGGTCTGGAATGCACACGGCTCCCATCACATGCTGCACTCAGGTTTTGGAGGTGATGACGTAAGAGGTATTGCGCTGATGACCTGGGCCTGTACTGTGAGTTGTTCTCTCAGTAGGGAGAGGAATCTATGCCAATCTATCTAGTTCTTGACTTCTTGAGAGCATGAAGCTCCAAGTCCAGACTGTGTGAGTAGAATGTGGCTGTGTGTCAGGGTGATGACAGGTGGTCCTCCAATCATGGGCCTCCACGACAGTCTGGGTGTCCTGGGCTACCAGATGGGAGGATCTCTGGTGTGGCAGCTCAGTGCATGACACTCCCCACTTCTTTCCATCTAACTAAACATGGCTACTGCCCATAAGGATATCCAGAAATAGATTCCTGTTTCCCTTATTTCCTGGGTTACCACACCAAGAACTATAGCAGGCTTATGGAAGAAAAGGAATTAGAAACCTTATAGAGCTCTCCAACAAGGACCCGATTTCTTTTCTCTTTCCTTCCAGATAATGTAAAAAGAAACTTTGTTAAATGAGCTGATCAAATGAAAACTCCCATTGCTAAAATCACTAAGCACCTCACCTCTTGCTCTTAAAAAAATAATTACTTGTGCACCATCAGACCAGAGACGTTCTCAATAAATCAGGATTAGGCCTGGATGATGACGTAGGTCTACACTCTTGAACAAAGGGGTGTTCCCACACAGGCAGTACACACTTACCTTCCCGAACACGGCCACACGAGTTTTGTCAATATACTGCTCTTTCAGCATTGTTCTGCAAAGTCAAAGAGGAGAGGGAGGGTTCAGTATGCATCCTGATTGTACTTGTTCTTCCTGTGGCCTACAGTCCTGTTTTCCAACCATCTCAGGTGTGAAACCTCTTTTCAAATAAAAAGCAATCTTGATATTCCATTATAATTGTTTGTTGCTTTTATTTATTTAGTACAGGGTCAGAATGTTCACATTTAAAACTCAAAGCACCTTTGCAATCACTCTGTAGAACTTGCCGGCACGTAAAGCCTACTGACCGAGAGACACTATAGTTCACAGCAACAACGCCCGTGAGGGGTGGGCTCAGTCATGCTGGGTTCCAACCTCTTGTTGCTCTTTGTCCCCAGGAGAGGAGGGGGAGGAGGACCCTCTCAAGACTTGTACTTACTTCATTACATAATTATTCTTTCCCTGAGCTTCCTGCTGCAGTCCTTCTTTGAAAACCATCAGCTCTGTGTTGACATTACCTGGGTCTCTGCCTCCCCCTTGCCAGTATCTCATGCAACCCTTCCTCCAAATTGTGGTCTCTTGTCTCCCCCATAAAGTGGCTGAAATCTTTGTTTCTGAACCCTGATCAGCAGTAGGAGTCCTGCCACCTACTAGCTTTCTAGATAGAAATTACTGTATATCTAGATTTTTATATCTAGCCAAACTATAATATCAAGAGTTGAGATAGAATAAAGACATTTTTACGCATCTTCTACTAGTGAAGAGGAGAAAATATAATTTCTTTTCTCAACTCTCACAAGTTCCCAGTTGAGACACTATCCTGAAAACAACAGTCAGATTAACAAGAGAAAAACCAGCAGAAGTTTGTGGATACATGATGTACCCATTACACAGGGAAGGACTCAGTTTAAAGTCTCTCAAGATGGCAGCTTACGAGCCTTGCTTAAATATTATTTTAACAAAGGGCAATACATCTAAGCATAGCAATAAGACAAAGGAGAAAGGAGGTCCAGTCTTTTAAAAGGTGGAAAAATGTAATGTGGGAAGGTAAAAAATCCGTTTCCAGATTCCTCTGGTGCCGCTGATGTCTTCTGTCGGCCAATAAGTGGGTGCTCTCTCCAGAGAGAAAAGATGTATGCCTTACCATCAGGCAGACAGAGGCTGAGGCAGACGGTTACCTTGTGTTATCAGTGGCTTTTTATTTTATCTTATTTTAAAGATGTGGGGTACAATTCAGGATTAGGTATATAAGTGGACATTGTACAGGTAAAGTTTGGGCCTCTCTTTGGTCCCCACTTTGCCTGGTTTGAGATTAGGTACCCTTATTGACGTTGTGTCCCCACTCCCACTTCAACAGTGTTTTTAACTTAACAATCCTTAATATTTTGGGGAGACATATTTTGGTTTCCTTCACTACATATACGAACGAATGCATAAATAAAAAGGAGGATGTATTTCTATTGTTCCTTAGCCTATGACCCAGGGTGTGTGTATGTTTCCTGTAGGCATGTGTGTGTGTGTGTGTGTGCGCGCACACACACACACACTCATGTGACCACATAGGTCACCCAAAGGAAAATGGTGAAGAAAATCCCAAGTTGACCCTAGTGGCAACCTGTCCAAATAGAGTAAAAAATGGGGGACACATCTCAATATATAAAATTGTAATCAATAGATAACTAGTATGTCTGAGCATTTTGAAAAATACAAATAAGAATATGCGTGGCATGAGGAAATAACAGGGAAATATTATGAGTAGTTACACAGAAATAACTCAAGAAAAAGACAAGACTTCTAGAAAAAATATCAAAAGATGCATAGAAAATTAGAGCTCTAAAGTACACTACCTGACTCTGCAGTGAGCAATTTACATTGTGATCCTAAGTCTCTAGCTACTGATTTAACTAGATCTGATATGCCTGCTGCAAAAGGAGTCAAAGATGATAAATCATGTAGTAATGATAACTATATTCAGAAATATGGAGACAAATACTTGACAAAATGGTTACTGAGGTTGAGAGTGGTTGTCTCTGGGGAGCAGGCCTGAGATGAGGGGAGATAGGAGTCTGACAAAGGAATCTGTTTTTGTGGTTGTGGTTACATTTGTTATACATTCGATCATGTCCTCGTAAAAAAAGACACGTTGATATCTCAGAAAGTGACCATATGTGGAAACAGGGTCTACTGTGGATGCAATTAGCTAAGGTTAGACGAGATCATACTGGAGCAGTGGGGCCTGCATCCAACATGATCAGTGTCCTACTGGGAAGAGAGGAGACAGAAATACAAGAAGAACATCATGTGAAGGCAGGGTGTTGGAGTAACATATTCACAAACCGAGGAATGGCAAAGATGGCAGGCAGACGGCCAGAAGCTGAAGAAGTGAGGAAGCGTTCTCTGCTATAGGCTTCAGAGGGAACACAGCCCTGCCCACACCTTGATTTTGGTGTTCCAGTTCTAGAGAATGAGTACTTTTGCTTTTTGAAACTGTTGTACAGGTATTACAGGATAGCCTGGAAGACGTCCATGTCTGCTGGGCCTGGGATCTGGAGGCACAAGCATATATATGTACCCTGAGTCACTGGCTAGGGCATGCTGCAGGCATATCCATATATTTGGAAACAATGACTACATTTCCCCAAGTTCCTAAATGCTCTCTTCATGACCTTGATTCCCGATATTCAGAGATCCATCTGGGGATATCTGGGTGGAAGGTTCTGGCATAGTCAGTTTTATTCAAGATGGATGCACCCAGTTCTTTGAGGATTCTGCCCCATGGCCAGATGTCTGGATCTCATTTTCTGGGGGTAGGGGAGTGTCTGTGAGGTAGCCCATAGAGTCCATGGGGCTTGGAGTGAGCCAGATGTACTATGAAGGGCATGAGACCAGGATCTTGGACTCCATTCCAAACTGCAAAAATATCTCGTATTTTTATTCTCAGCCCTGCTGCTAAGTCAGCAGGCAGCCTCAGGTCTTTGGCAACCCTTCATCTAATTACCCAGTGACTCTCACTTTTTGATCTAAAACCTATAAATCTTGCTAATGATCCTCATTTGTAAAGAAATTTGGAGTCTTCCAAGGACAGTTGTTTTTTCTAATATCAAATATCTTCTTGTAGCTGTATTTTTACTCATCAATTGAACAAATCTCATGTTTCCTAGGGAACAGTGCAACCCCAAGGTCAAGGAGAGTTTGATCTCATACATGTGGTACACTTTTTAATTGTTGAGGATGGTATGTGACACAGCAGCAGCTGAACCAGAATCTATTAGGGCACTGTGCTTTTCTAGTGTGCATAGAGGTCAGTGCCACACTGGGGTTGGAGGGGAGCCCGAAGAAGAACTTGGAAAGACACAGCTCAAGAAGTCATCTGTGGAGGATGGTAGGATAACGTCATGACACAGCAGCGACACTGATTACACTGTATGTGGTGACATATGTTCAGTCTGTCACCCAGACTGAAGTGGTTGGGACATGGAGCGGTCTGGAGCATGCACAGGAGCCTTGAGCAGGGTTGGGTGAAAATGTGGAGACAGGAGGCCAAGGAGAAGACCTTGTAGGTGACAACAGGGCCATGAATGAACATGGAGTATCCAGGAGACCCTAGGAAGCCTGCTGGTGGGAGGGCAGAGGCGCGCATTTGCATGTCGTGGTGCCCCCACCTCTTCCTCCAAGAGGTGGGCGGCACTGGCTGCCACGTCTCCTGTCTTCTGGCCCACTGCCATGCCCCTGCTGTGCCAAGCCCTCTCCATCCAGTCAGTGGTGACATGGCAGAACCTGAGGGCCACACTGTGCCCACCTGGAAGCTTCTGATGGGCAGTCTTGGTTCTGGGCTGCCGCCAGCCTGTGAAGACTCTCTGAGCTGTGCTGCCATGAAGGCCCTTTCTACTGAGCTCTCCTCCCCGCCTCTGTCCACACCTATAGTTCTCCTACCCAGTACCCTTCAGATATTCCTCCTTTGTATGCCTGATTCCATCTCGACATCTGCCTCCCAGGGGACCCAAGCTGATACAGGTGTCAGGGACAATGCCACCGCTTGTAGCACCTTCAGAGCAGAGGAACCTCACAGAGACTCGACTTAGCAGGAAATGGGAAACCAGTGAGAAAAATGGGATCCCTGGGTTCCTCCTGCATTGTGGCGTGAGTGGGCATGGTAGGGATGGCTGGGCATTGCAAGGTCACCATCCAGCCACTCCTGCCTCCCAGGGCGAAGACCCCATGGGTTCAGCATCCCCATCTCCAGATTTACTAGCATACCTCATCTTGCTGACTCAGCTTTAGAAAGTCTCCAGATGATTCTTCACCTTTCCACCCTCAAGGGTCAGGCAAGCTGTCCCCCTTCCCCTGCCTGCCAGCCATCAGGGCAACATTCCTGCTGAAGGGGGAGAAGGTGACAACAGGGCAGCAGCTGAGGCCCTGTCAGCTGGACTGTCTGCCTTCCTATTTTGGTGAATCAGTTCCCTGCTGAGGATGCTGGACAAGCTCTTTGACCTTTGGGACCTTTCTTTTAGAGATAGGGTCTGGCTGTTGCCCAGGCTGGAGTACAGTGGCACAATCACAGCTCACTGAAGCCTCGGACTTCTGGGTTCAAGCAGTCTTCCCACTTCAGTCTCCCAAGTAGCTGGGACTCCAGGCCTGTGCCACCACATCTGGCCAACTGGACCTTTTTAATAAATGGGCTCACAGTTCCACCTCCTGGAAATGTTTGCAGCAGCCATGCAGTCATGCCCGTGAAGTCCAGGCAGTGCCCAGAATCATTGTGTCCTTTCCTCGTCCTTCCCACCAGTGTTTTTCTCAGTCCACACATGGACTGGCTCTCTCCTGCCCCTCTAGATTCCACAAACCTCTGTGCCTCAAGGGGATGGCTGGTAGGAACAGACTGTGGTTCCCCTGTTCTCTGGCTATTGGTTGGGTTTGGCCCACCGGAGCCCCGTGGGAGCCCAGTGGCAGGGATGACCCAGATCAGGACATAGGCTCCCCTGTCGTCTGCCTTGCCCAGCTCCTAACAGGGCTCCCCTGCCCATGAGAGACTCCCTCTTCTGGCCCTGATATCGCTCCTGCTGCTGCTATTACTACTACAGGACACTGCAGCCACTCCTGTCGTCTCCCTAACCCTGCCCATGCTTTGTAAGCATTCACTCTATCCATCTCTCCTCAAAACACTGGATTTGAGTGTTCTCTACTGGAACTGTGACCCATCAAGCTCCCTGCACTGCTACCAGAATTATGAGTCTGAGAAATAAAGTTGACCTTGATACTTCCATACTTAAAAAAAATCCCGTGGTCTTTTACAATCTAGAGGATGGTAGGAAATTCTTAAGCTAGTGTGGGAAGTGAGACATACTCAATCCCATCTTCCTTCTCCATTTATCCCTGACCCTCTCTGGTTCATCTTCCTCTCTACTCACCCCTGCCCCCTCCCTGGGCCACCTGTACTGCTTCTCAGTGGGCTCCAAATGGACTGTGTCTTTATATTATCCCGAGATCTTCATTTCTGCTATTTTCTCTGTTTGGGATGTACACCTCTTATTTTCTCTCAGGCAAATCTCTATCATTCTTCAAGGTCTTGGCCAACGACCCCCACTCCTAGCCCTCCTAGGCAGGGCTGCGGGCTTCTATAGCACTTGCTAGGTGCTAGTGGAACTCCATCCTGGCCTGAGTGGTGGGTTTACTTGGCTGTCTTCCTCCCTTCCACAGGGCCCTACGCTCACCTCAGCTGCTGATGGAAAGTGCAGCCCAGTGGGCTACCAGGTAAGGAGTTAGAACTACAAAGAGGGCCTGGGAACTTGGGAAGAGAAAGGAGGGAAACTTAGAAATTTAGAATATAACGTAGCCATTTCTTTTTTTTAGGTGGAGTCTCACTGTCGCCCAGACTGGAGTGCAGTGGCCGCTCCCGGCCACCGCAGCCTCGACCTGGTGGAATCCGGTGATCCTTCCGCCTCAGCCTTCCAAGTAGCTGGAACTACAGGTGCACGCTACCACACCCAGCTAATTTTTTTTTTGATTTATTGTAGAGGTGAGGCCTCGCCAAGTTGCCCAGGTGGGTCTCGAACCTGCGGGCTCAGGCAATCCACTCACCTCAGCCTCCCAAAGGCGCGGGATTATAGACTGAGCCACCGAGCCCGGCTACATAGCCATTTTGAATCAGCACAACCATTTTACTTAGACCTCACCCCTTGAAACTCCTTTGCTATAGAGTTTGCATGGCCCACATGTCCTTTTACCCTATAATTGTTATTAAGAAAAATACTTTGTCTTTAGAAACTGGTGATTACACAGAACCCCTTAAGCATGTCCAGTCTTGTTAACAATCTATCTTTTAGACATTCGTATTTATCCATTGTTATTGGCCACTCGTGATGACCGCCAGCACACCACCAGGAGGTATGTTTATTGGTATATTGTTATACGACCATGACAACCTCCAGCTCACCACCTGAGGTCTTGAGCCGTCGATACCTGGTGATATCAAGATACTAGATTCATGCTACTACTATGGAAACCAAAGAATACAACTCTGGATACTCCTTTTGGCTCAGATCTCCTCCGGATCTAAGCTCCCCTTGCTTTAAAGGCCCTTAAATATGCCCAGCCGCCAGCCTTCCATGTCATACTCACCTGAGTGCTGGCCCCCTTTTCATCTGTGAAAGGTGAATAATAATTTCCTTCTACTTTCCTCTCTGATGTAATCTTGCATTATTCGCCTGGCACCAGCCTACCTTGCCTCAGTTTGCCCTTTCAGGGAGGTACATGATGGGTTGGTGTCATGATCTCTAAACTTCTGGTAAAACTGGGCTATTTTGTTCTGACTACCAACAATACATTCTAGCTCCTAAAGAAATTCTAGTCAAGTTTCCTATGGCTTGAAACACCCTTTCTAAGAAAGTCTGTACATTTCATGGACAGTGCCACCTTTCTAAGAAAGTCTGTACATTTCATGGACACTCTAAGCTTTATCATTCTTCATGTGCTCTGGTTCTTGTGAGCATCAGTGGTTTAAAGGTTGACATTAAATGTTTTTCCAGAACAAGTTCTGCCTTGCTTTGGAATAGATGGCTAAGTTGGTTCCTTATTTTTAGAAAACAACATGAGTGTGAAATACTTTTTTGTCGTCTTGTTCCTGTGCTCTAGGGGAGATGCCAGGTAGAGCCAAGTGCTCAGGTGAGCCTCAAGGACACTATGACCTTCCACTGGGCCCTCCATGGCGGGGAGGCCCAGAGAGGTAGGCCAGGTGGATGAGGAAAGAGCAGGAATGAGCAGGAAAATGCCACATACATCAAAAAGGACAAAGGAGGAGGGACAAAGAGGCCAGGAGAGCCCTCACATGGCTTCTCATGGAGCCCACCCCACCTCAGAGTCCAGCCTGGGACCACCCTCTCATCCTGGGAAGCTCTGTAACTGCCATTGCCAGCTGCTGAGCCAGCAGCCACCTGCCCTTCCCCCTTCCAAACAGAACCCCTGTGTCCATTTGCCTGCCCAGGGGCTGACCCCACACCAGGGTTCGGTGGGACACTCGGTCTCAAGGTAACTGCCTTTACTTCTCTTGCCAGTGGTGGGCTCTGGGTTCCAGGATCTGAAACGGGCAGAGTAAGGCCAGAAAGATGGAAGAGAGGTTTGCTGGGTGCTGCTCTCCTGAAGCAGAGACTCTTCCCTTCCTTTCTGGAAATTTCTGGAAGTGGCTCCCTCCCCAACCTGCTGGAGAAGCATGGAGCCAGATGCTACTGACTGGCATCCTTTGAGCATAAGGGAAGTCAGCTCAGGATGAGGCCAGTATGGCTGAGAGGTGGAGATAGCCCGGATCTTGGGTAACATTGCTGGTCTCTGGATCAATCAGTCCTGAGGTTTGACATTCCTGTGGGCTGTCAGAGTCAGCATAATTCCTTATTTTTAAAGTACATCTGAGATTGTGTGTATGTGTGTGTGTGTGTGTGTGTGTGTGTGTGTGTGTGTGTGTCATTGTTGACTTCCAGGAGAAAGCATCCTAGCACATACACCTTCCCTAATTATCCAAGTCCTCAAGTTTCTGTCTGTAACACCACACACAAGCTTCTAAAGATATCACTTTTTCTCTTTAACTAGCTCATAGCTCCCTGAAGGAGAAGAAGGTGCCATTCATTCATTCACTCACTATTTTCTCCATTTAAAGATCATTCATTGAGGCATACCATGTGTTATTCATCTTTTTAAAAACGAGAGAAAATATTTTGGAGTCCGTAAAATCTTTTAAGCCTATAAAGACTATTGACATGGTGTCAAGCACAGTTTACATGCTTACAGTTTACATGCTTACATATAGTCCTTTGGTCAGCAAACAAGCGCCAGCTGGACTCTATATTCCAGACTCTTCACATGCCCCGGGGCCAGCATCATGCAGCCCTGTCCATGGCAAACATGATCATCAACTCTAGTCAGCTGAATTGTTCTTGTGACATCTCTCAGGTGAAGTCAGGTTTAGCTCAGCAGTCCTCTGTGCCATAAGACTATGAAAACCATATTTCTACAAAGTGAGCCTAAAGGCCAGCTGTAGCCTTGCAATGGGTTTTTTTGTTGTTTGTTTGTTTTTTGAGTCAGAGTCTCACTCTGTCACCCATGCTAGAGTGCAGTGGCATGATCACAGCTCACGACAGCCTTGACTTCCTAGGCTTAGGTGATCCTTCTGCCTCAGCCTCCCAAGTAACTGGGACTACAGGTATGTGCCATCATGCCAGGATAATTTTTTGATTTTTTTTTTTGGTAGAGATGAGGACTCACTATATTGCCCAGGCTAGTCTTGAACTCCTGGCCACAAGCGATCCTCCTGCCTTGGCTTCCCAAAATGCTGGGATTATAGGTATGAGCCACTGTGCCCGGAAGGCACAAATTCTTAATGTCTTTTTAATTTCCAGGGCCACAATAAAATCCAATACGCAATTTTGAGCATCTGTCCCTTGGTGCTAAACTGCTTTCTGTTCTGTTCTCTGTAATACTGGGTTGGTCTTGCTGATTCAGTGACAGGAATGATGAAACAACTGCCCTTCTTTAGAACTGAGGAGGGCACTTGTGACCCACTCCCTGGATGTGAAGGAGGTCCTCTTCTCAGTAAGGAGGGTCATCCACTTGCATGAATCCAACCTTATCCATGTTCTTTTTCTTTCTTTCTTTCCTTCCCTACCTCTTCTCTCTTCCCTGTGGGATAGATGACTAAGATGTGCCCAGACACCATTTCTGCCTCTAGCACCTTGCATTAATATACTCAACAAATAATCTGCCCGGCTATAAGAAAACGAGTATACACACCTTTAGGAGAACATTCCTAACAATTTCCTTTGAAACTCGCTTCAGAATTAATGGCCCACAGAGTTTTGTAGGTATGAGCAAATTGCATGCAAAATGTGTACATCCACAAAAAGTATCCGTGCACTCTACCCCTACCCACTCCCCACCCTGCCCCCCGTCTCTCTTGCTTTTCCTGGAAGGTACTCACCGCACAGCCTCCATCTGATCCTTCTCCTCCAGGGAGCCCAGCCGCTTCCTCACTTCATGCAGCAGCTTGGTCCCCTGGAAGCCGCTGCCTCGGCCATCGCATTTGACTACCACTGCCCCGTGGCTGCTCACCATCACCGTCTCCCAGGTTACTTCAAACTTCTCAGCCACGCTCTGGCTCCCTGGGGTGCCATCCCTGTAAAAGAGAGTCCAAGGCCTCAGCATGCTTGTTGCATGTTTGTTGCTAACAGATAACCACGTCCGAGGGTTCTTTCCTAAAGGGCTTTATCTTTATCCCGGCCACCTCATGTCGGGCTCCACCCTCCCAGATTCTGTTGCCCAGGACAGAGGAGTTGGGCTCTGTCTATACTCCCATAAGGCAAGGAAGAAACTGGGCACTCAAAGAGCCCGGGCACCCAGGGTCATCTCTAAACACACTGGCACAAACAAAGAGACAGTCCCCAAAGGCATTTGTTTGGTGAGGAAAGCAATAAAAATCCTCCCAGCTTCTCTTTTTGGTGTGTCCTCACTCTACTGCATGGCCACTGCTGTCTTTCCTGGGTTCTCAATATCTCAGGCTGGATCCCCTCAGTACCTATCCCATGAGAGACAACACTGTGTTGACTCTTCAGGGGCATCCCTGATTTGAAGACATGACCTCTCCTTTTATGACATTAGAACAAAGAGCACAAGTTGTATGTGCTCCGCCCAGCAGTGTGAACTCAGTGCTCTGGGCTGGGTGAGCTCCACTGTGCTCCTCTCCTACCAGCTCCTCATTTGGTGACCCCACGTTGCTAGCTGAAAGTCATCCCTGGTGGGGTATTTACACCATGGGAAAGGGCCTACACCATCAACAGGGCCATTTCGGTGCAGTCCTGGTTGTTAGACATTTCCTAGCATGCTCACGGGTGTGGGGCAAGTTTTAAAATAATTTTTTCCTTTGGTGGGAAAAGAATGAACTGGAGAGGAAGCCAGCCCCAGGTTCAGCCTGCCTCCCAAAACAGAAGTAGATGGCAGCACCCTCGTCTGAGTGGGAACTCTTCTCCAATGGGGTGATAGTTCTGACCACAACACCATTCCTAGCTTTCTGTCAAGGGTGGAGGGCATACAGGGAGGAGTGGGGTGTGGGTGAGAGAAGGAACACTGGCCCAGGAGTAGTGCACTTGAGGGCTACATGCTAAAGGATCCTGACCAGTGACCATGTTGCTTTATGTCAAGTGTGTATTGGTTTTCTTTTCTTTTTATTTGTTTGAAGTAGGCACTGCCTGGTATAGGTCTTTTGAAGTCTCAGGGTCCCCAAATCTCCTTGCTGTCATATTTGAAGTCATAAAAAGAAACAAATAAGCAAAAAGACATGCCTTTTAGGGGAGCCAATGAGGCTGGAGACAGCGGATCTGCACCCGCCATTAGCCGTCCCAGGCTCTGTCTGGGCTCAGGAGAGTACAGGCTGTCTCGACCCAGTGCTTTCACTTTTACTTTTGAAAGGAGAGTGAGTTACTTTGTAAACTGAAAAGCTTTGGGGGATTTCCTTTAAGATTATTGAAAAAAAAGTATTCGGGAGAAAAACTGGGTTTGAAATCAGCATCTTTGTGATTGTGATGAAAAATCTGGTTTAGTAAGGGAGAAAGGAGGCAATGTGGGCAATATGTGTGTGGTTTGTGTGCGCGCAGGTGTGTGTGTGTGGTAGGGGTAGGGGGCATGTGTTTGTGTGCATGTGTTTGTAGATGTGGGTGTGTATAGGGGATTTGCGGATATGTGTGTGTGACTGTGCGCAGATGTGAGTGTGTGTGTGGGGGTGTAGGTGTGTGTGTAGATGTGGGTGTGTATAAGATATGCGTATGTGAAGAATGTATGTGTGTGCATGTGTGTGTATATGTGGGTGTGTGTGGGGTGTGAGAATATGTGGGTATGTGTGGTTGTGTTTGCGTATTTGTGTGCATGTGTGAGTGTGTGAAGAGGTGGATATGTTTGTGGGGTGTGGGGAGATGTGTGTGTGTGTGTGTGTGTGTGAGTATGTGTAGATGTGGGTATGTGTGAGGGATGTGGGGATATGTGTGTACTTGTGTGAGTGTGGGTAGGTGTGGGTGTGTGGGTGTGGTGTGGGGATATGTACGTACGTGTGTGCCTGTGTGTGAGTATGTGCAGACGTGGGTATGTGTATGGCATGTGGGGATATGTGTGTATTTGTGTGTGTGTGTGTATGTAGAGGTGGGTATGTGTGTGTGGGATGTAGGGATATGTGTGCACATGTGTATGTGTGTATGTGTGTAGGTATGTGTGTGGTGTGGGGATATGTGTGTACATGTGTGTGTGAGCATGTGTGGGTGTGGGTATGTATGTGTGGGGTATGGGGATGTATGTGTACACGTGTTGGTGTGTGTGCGAATTTATGTAGGTATGGAAATGTGGGAAGGTGTGGGAATATGTGTGTGTGTGTGTGTAGAGGTATGTGTGTGGGGGGGTGTGTGGTGTGGGGATATGTGTATACATGTGTATGCATGTGTGTGCGTGTGTGTAGGTATGGGTATGTGTGTGGGCATATGTGTGTGTGTGCATGTATGTGGTTGCCGGTCCAGAAATGGAGGGATGTGGGTTAACTGAAGAATGTAACCAGAGATTGGAATCTCTGCCCCAGGCATCTTTGTAGGAAAGCCTTCCTGAGCCCTCAAGAAGAGAGCAGGGCAAGACACCATGGTTAATCCAAGTTCCATCAGGTAACGTGGCCTTTACTCAGTGGGGGTCATCTCACTAAAATGGCCCCAATGTCAGCCTCTGCTCCAGCCTGACCGCTTTCAAGAAAACCTGGGAGACACGCTCTCTGAGCCAACGAGGGCATTCTGGAATTTCTCCTGCTCTGTGGGTCTTGAAAGAATAGACTGGGAGGTAAATATGCACATTTGTTCAATCATCTGGGTGGTGTCTTTCTCTGAGATGCCTCCCTGAGCTGTGTAAATACACGAGGAAGTTCCTCGAAGCCCAGGGCTTCTGGGGTAGAATCTGAAGCACCCCAGCAGAGGCTCACCCAGGGCCTTGAAAGCAAGATACCTCCTGACATTCTCCATCTACACTCATGGCTGTGTCTGAACCAGTTTTCCAGCCATTGTTGGTAACCTCAGGAGTCTTGCTTTCATGGTAACAGATAGCCCCGAGGCAGCCTGGGGAGAGGGGGTATAGTGCCCACTTTCCTTAACCTCTGGGGGTCTCCAAGAGTCCTGAAAACAACCTAACATTTGCTAAAGATGAGCTAAACTGTCCTAAGTTTTCAGTTTGCAACAATATCATTTCTTCTGCTTATCTTTTCTATTTTTTGAAATTTTTTTAGTTTTATTTTTTGTAGAGATGGGGTCTTGCCTGTTCCCCAGGCTGGACTAGATCTCCTGGGCTTAAGCAATCCTCCCACCTTGGTCTCCCAAAGTGTTGGGATTACAGGCATGAGCCATTGTGCCTGGCCTGCTTATCTTTTCTTAAGAGTTCTTTATTCTTTTTACCCGCTACATCCTCTGCAGCATTCATGTGTCCTAATGCCACTGAGTCCCAAAGTGAACACCCAGAAAAAGAAAGAGGCAATGGTACTTACACTACCAGGAGCAGAGGGTAGTGGGAGGTGTCAGTGAAGGTTGCTGGCTTCAGGATCTGCATGGGCAGGTCTAGGGATAAGCAGAGCACAGCATAGGTCAGGGGGTAATGTGGATCAGAGCGTGTTAGAATGTCCCTTGGGTGACCATGGGGGTGAGGCAGGTCCTGGGGGGAGGTAGGGCAGGAAGCCCACAGATAGGGGCTGGTCCAGTTTTTATCTCCATGGCTCTGGCTTGCTCCATGGTTCTGGCCAAGTCATCCAACCTGCGTGAGGCTTAGTTAATCTGTCGCAAGCTCACATTCAATCTTGCATATGGGAATATACTGAAAAACAAAAAAAAGACTCGATGGCCTAGATGGCCGGGAGCACTTGCTAGCAGCAGAATTTCAGGCAGGGAGAAAAATGACACCCTGAGGGCAGGCAGGCTGACTTGTTGCCAGGAAGCTTCTCACAGTTTCTGTCTGGACACAGCTGGGGATGGGAATTTGGGAGCAGTGGGGAAGGAGGGCAGAGGAAGAGACAGATGTGGGGAGTTAGGCAGGGGCCAGCAGCCCAGAAGGGATGGGGTGAGGGCCCTTGAGGGGCCTCCCTGCAACACCAAGTGGCTCTGCACACCAGCCTGGGCAACAGGGTGAAACCCTGTCTCAAGCCCTGGCATCTCTGCTCAGCCACCTGCTGTTTGTAGGTTTGTGCTGGGTAGGTCTGACTCTTTGCAGGAGCCACAGCAAGAGGACACTGGGGAAAGAGGGTGCAGTCCAGCTGTTTCTGCAACTACCAAGGTCACCGGATCGGATCTTTGGCAGCATGGAATCCAGTGGGTGAGGGAGAGGGAGTAAGAACCTAACCCCTCAAAATTGCCTCACCAATTCCTTCTGTTCCCCCTTCCCCAATGAACCTTCCTGCCCAAGTTAGAATTTGTTTACTGACGTGAACTACAACCCAGATTACCAAAGGCACAGCAATTAAATTGGAATTAGTGGCTTTTCAAGACAATTATGGTACAGATACACCACAGGCTTGGCAGTTGGCTGGGCTGCCACGCTCTGACCCAGCCTCTGATTACTGATTCAGGCTGAATGTTAATGGCTTGCAAATTGGCTCAGTGGCCCAGGGACTGGCAGAAAGGCAGGTCTTGGACTTTATCATTTAAATATCCATAAAACATGGTCTGGGCTGCTCTCTGCCACTGATAAGCCCAAGGGCAGACCTTGGAAACTGGGTTTTGACTGACTGAACACATTTCAGGGAGTCCTGCTGAAAGACTCTCTATTTTCCTTAAAAAAAAAAAAAAAAGTCTTAGCCTCTTGTAGTGCAAAATGGAAAAACAAAACAATACCAGGTCGGTAGGGCTCACATCTTTTAGGTTTTCTGTGATCGCAAAACGGTGCCTTCCCAATGCCAACCCCCATACACACAGCAGCACCCTCTCCTGGCATCAGTGCCCATCCAGCTACCTTCAAGGAAAGCCCATGCTGGACAGAGTGGGTGGCAAGATGGTTATCTGCTTCTAAAAGTATCTTCTGCATTTTGAGAGGAGGGGATGACAGTCACACATCAGTGCTTTGGGATTGGGAAGTGTGATCCAGGCAGCAGTGAGTAGGTGGGTTGCAGGAGGGGGAGGCCCGGTCTCAGGCTCAGAAAGGAATCTTGTCTGGGTGACTGCCTAAGGCTGTGGAGGAGCTGTGATATGAGTATACCCTGAGGGGGTTCAGATATGCGTGGCAACATGGGATCTCCACTGGGCTGGGATGATACACACGCTTCTTGGCCAAAGCAGATTGTCACTGTTTCCATTTATGGTTTCTCCGAGCTTAATTCTTCTCCCTCGTCTAGAATCTTCCCTATTCACTTCATCATCTCCTTCCTCAGAATGGTCACATGCGGGGTGTTTTAAAAGAGAAAGCCTCTGGGTTTGTTGGGGGGAATTTGAAACACATCATATTTGTAGACAGTTCTGACTTTCAGAGGTGAGTATATATATCTCTACAGGGCAACAGGGAAGCTGTACATCTTCCTAGCAAGGTTTAGAAGAGTTCTGAGAGTGTGCCTTCCTGTGGCTACATAGGGGGCCAGAATGTTTGGGAGGGGGGCTTGTAGTGGGCTGTAGGGTAGTGTGGTGACTGTGGACAGTGAGGGTTACTCTGCAATGGGTTGAACCCCAGGCTGGGATTCCAGAGCAGACTCCCCACACATCCATGGTAAATTATGCTTATTCCTGCTTAAGCCCTCCTCCTGCTGGCCCTTCCTTCCGGACAACCTTTCCTCTCCTCTTCTAAGCTAACCCAAAGCTGATGCCAGGGACTCTGTTCAAGTTCCATGCCCATGAACCTCCCTGCCATTTTATATGACAAGAGTCACTTTGTGTTAATCTTCAACTGACCAATGAGTAGCCTACAATCAAAGTCAAACATCAATCAATCAGAACCGCCATGTTTCAATCCTGCATTTACCGGATGGGAATGAACACCAACCAATCAGAAATGCTATGCTTCAATTTCACATTTACATGGCAGGAATGAACACCTACCAATCAGACTGATGTGTTTCAATCCCTTATTTGCATGGTGGGAATAAATACCAACCCATCAGAACTGCATGCTTCAATCCCTCATTTGCATGCTGGGAACCAAAAAGAGGCTCCCCTATAAAAACAACCTAAGATTGCTGGCTCGGGGCAGACAGCTCTTCTATGGCTGTCATGCCCACTGCAGTGTACTCAATAAACATGTCCTTTTCTACTCTGATCTGACTTGAGTGAATTCTAGGCAGCTTTATAGCACCTGCTTGGGTCAATCTGCTTCTGTTTCAGAGGGTGAGCCTTTGTTTCTGCTCTTAGGAGCTCAGTCTGTGTCTTATCTAAGCTACTGAACACAAGGGGGTTTCTGGCTAATACTCTAGGACTCAAGTCCTGGATGACAGGCCATTGTCCTACTGTAGGAGAAAGGGCAAACAAGGAGCTTCCAGAGACAATGTAGGGATGGTCTAAGGATAGCAAATTCAAGGCGCGAGCAGTTCCCCCTCCCTGCCCCTTCAGCTAAGTCTTTACTACTCAATCTTAACACTCTTTTCCCTGGAGCCTTGGCAACCTTCTCTTCCTTTTCAATAAAGAGTTCCAGCAGTTATTATCAACCAGTCAGAGTTTGCTCTTAGGAGTTTGCTACAACCTAAGAGATGATGGATAACCTATGGGTGAATGAGTGACTCAAAGGCAACTTCAAGGTTTGATGTCTAAGCTGTTTGACACAAACCCACAACCAAAAAGTTGCTATCTATAAATATAGGGAAGTCTGGAGGGGGGCAGAGTTCTGCAGAAAGGTAGTGAGAGTTGTGGAGGGCATTTACATTTGGGGTGCCCAAGGTAATTATCTAGTGGACAGTTAGGACACAGTGGAGCCGGATTGATTCGGGAGCCATTTACACAGAAGTAAGAGTTGAGCTCTGAGGATCTGTCTCCCTCCCAGAGATAGGAGTCCATGTTCAGCCAATGATTTAGGGTTTTTGATGCCTAGCAGTGTCTAGCACAGAGTTAACACTTAGAAAAATGCAAACCGAATGTTTGAATAAAAAGTTAAAGAGAAAGTAGGGCACAAGAAAAGAAAGGCAGAGGATAAATGTTTCTTAGGTTGTAACAAAACTCAGGTCCCTCATTACATAAACTGCAGTTGCAAGGATGGCCCCTCAGCAGCCTGTGATCAATGCTTAGAGGTGGGCTGATGAGGTAGCAAGGGTATCAGATGGCATAGAAGAGGAATTACCAAAGGGAAGAGATTTTCCCTGGATGGAGTCATGACAAGTTTACTAGGCTGTGATCTTCCCTAATTTGTCAGTCTCTCAAGGAGAGTAATCTCATATGCTCTACCTGTTTTGATTTGTCACCAGAGTGAATATTTTGGTTCTGGACACAGTAAGCTCCATGTAGGAGGAGTTACCCAGCAAGGAGATTGCCTGCCTGCGTGGCTGGGGGAGACTTCCACACACAGCAACCCACTGCTGATGAATGAGCTGGTTCCGAGCTGGTACTCTGTATTTCTTTTTAAAGGGAAAAAAAGCAACACTTACTATAATCATCGATCTCTATTTTCCTGTATTCTATTTTAGGCATCTGTCGGTCATTTATGGCCTTCTGTACATGTTCATTCATTTCAAGATCAAACAGTTCTGAAAAAGAGAAAAAAGTGACACACTGAGATTCAGTAATCATTTACTGAATACCTATGTGAGGCACGGGTTTTCACATGCATCAGGCTAAACTTTCTACATCAGTCCTTCCTGGAGGAGGTTGTTCTTATTTCTATTTTACAGACCAAGAAACGGTGACCTTAAAGAACTTGTTCAAGTCACATGATGAAAAGCTTAGCCTCAAATCAGGAACATGGGCAGATCGAAGACTCTCTCCACCATATTAGACTACCCACAACCAAAAGGGTGCTATCCATAAATGTAGGGAAGTCTGGAGGGGGGCAGAGTTCTGTGGAAAGGCAGTGAAAGTTGTGGAGGGCATTTAACATTGGGGTGTCCGAGGTAACTATCTAGTGGGCAGTTAGGACACAGAGTGGTCAGGTTGATTTGGGAACCATTTACACAAAAGCGAGAGTTGAGCTCTGAGGATCTTCTCCCTCCCAGAGATACGAGTCCATGTCCAGTCAATGATCTGGAGTTTAAGGGAAACCAACATTGTATATCTGTTAGGATGGATGATTTTCCACATATCCTGGCCATAATAATCACAGAAGGAAAGGAGAGTAGAAACTGGAGTGTTTTCATTATTAAATTTTTCCAGAAAAAAATGGATTCATATTTCATACCTGGTCTTTGGAGACCTCAACTTGGAAGATTATATTTATTGACAGCCAAGTCACATGAATAGCACTTTGCACTGCAGTGGGACTGGCCATCCTCCCTTCACAGTAGAGAGACTAAAGCTAATTTTGTGCCGTAGTGTAGATACATAGGGTCTTTATTCCTTATGTTACAACACCACACAAATGCCCTCTTTATGCATTTCCCCAGTTGCAAAGACGTCCCCTTCATACTGAAATAGCCATTCTACTTTATTTTACATCTCACAGATAATAAAAGCCATATGACTTTCTGTTTCCTTTCTCATTCGAAGACCACATCTAGGGACAACTTGTGGTTTATCATGAAAGGGAATTTTACCTTCAAGGAACTCCACCTTTGACCCATCAAATTGTCACCTCATGTTGAAACAGTTACAATTCATGAGTTTTTAAAGAGTAAACTAATATCACATCCAATGTTACAATGAGTGTCGACTCATCTTCTTATACAACTCCCTTTATAAAAAACTACTCTGCATGTGTATGCTTCTCCAAGGCAGTTGGAGGTTAACTGATAGCTCTTAACAAGCAGATCCTAGCAATGGGAGGCCTTATCTGTGGAGCAACATTTGGCAGTCGCCGTCACTCAAGGTTCTTAACATAGTTGCTGAGCAGAACTGGCAACTTTCTTTAGAGAAACAGAGCAGAGTAAAAGTTCCCAGTGCTCGTGATGAGCAAGCACACAAACAAAATATGATTTATAAGTTGCTGGACAGGCCAGGCACTATGACTCAGGCCTGTAATCCTAGTGCTTTGGGAGGCTGAGGCAGGAAGGTCACTTGAAGTCAGGAGTTTGAGACCAGCTAGGGCAACATAAAGGAGACCCTATTTCTACAAAATTAGCTGGGTATGGTGGCACATGCCTGTAGTTCCAGCTACTCGGAAGGCTGAGGTTGGAGGATAGGTGAGCCAGGTTAACAACTTAGCTAGGAGTTTGAGACTGCAGTAAACTATGATCATATCTAGCCTGGTGAAAGAGCAAAACCCTGCCTCAAATAAGTAAATGAAAAGATAAAAATAATTTGTTGGACACATATTTGATTATTCAACTTTGATCAAAGGTATGGCAAAAACAATGGTGAAAGTAGTTTTCAATTTTGGGGTAGAATTTTTTTTCTTTTAATCTGAAGTTGGACCACCACTGCCAAAGACTCTGAACTGAACACCAAGTAGCATGTAAGATATGGTGTTCCTTGTAGACAGCAAGAAAGTATAGCTGTGTTTGTAAGGGTTGGCTGTGGTGGTAAAGTCCAAGGGAAGTCCAAGTAGAGTTGACCTCAACTCTGAAACCCAGAGACTTGACTTCAGAGATGGCATACTCTACCTTGCAGTCAACTTAGAGGGAGAGACACTCTACCTCAGGGAGTCTGCATACCCCACTTCCTGCTTCACACCCAAGGTCCACATTCCTAAGAGATTTGAGACACTGTACTCATTCTTGCTGAGTCCAAATGCTCCCACCCCTTTGACACAATGCTCCAGGCACAAAAAATCAGTTGAGAAGAGTTGGTCTATAAGACAGTAACTATTGCTCATTTGTGTTCTAGTCACATTTATAGGGCAGGAAGGCTAGCAGAGAGCACCGCAAGATGATGAAAAGGACAGTATTTTCCAAGTTCTTTGCTACCCCTGGGCTTTTGCACATATTACCCTATTCCACTCCACCACTGTGTTTGATGTCTTCCTTGCTGGCTTTCTCCTGCATTAAGACACGTGTCACCTACTCAAAGCCCACTCATCCAATCTCAGGTACCACACTAATCTCCTCAGATATACTTAATATACTTAACATCAAATACAAAAGTTTTGGTCATTCTCTTGGCTATATTTTACCTGCTCCCCAAGGCATCAGTGTTCAGTCCCATCTCAAGGACAAAGCTCACTAGTTTCCAGAAACCTGGGTAGATCTGTTTGTGGAAATTCAATTCTACCCTGGAAATTAAGCCTCTTTAGACAGTAACTGAGTTTGCATTTTGCAAGTCTTTCTCCCTGTTCCTCCATGGCCCTTTTCCTATAGCTCCAAGAAGGTCTTGAAGAAGCTAAACACGATTGAGAAAGCCCTAAAGACTCTGGAAGGTCCTGGAGGTTCTGACCTCTTGAGCTACAAGAGGTGAAGAAATTGAGGCACCCCACATAAAACAGACCAAAACAAAACCAAAGCAAACGTTCACTCAATGGGCTGAAAAGTCTCTGTTGCTTAAAATAATAATGATATACATACGTTAATTCAATTAATGCTAGAATTAAAAGGCAATTCATTGATACTACCCAAGTCCAAGTTTATTGTAGGAGACCAGTGTATGAATCTTACAAGGTTATTTTGAAGCTTCAGGTGTAACATGAAGAGAATCTGTGATTTTTTTGACCACTCTGCTTGCCTGTGTGAGCAGTCCAGGTGGATAACAGGTAAGGAATCTGGGGATGTGGGAATGTGGTCAAACTATAGAAATGGAAATTCATGAAGATCAATGGACTTGGCAGAAGAAAGGTAGAACCAAAATAGACTTATTGCTATCCATCAGCTTCTGTTCCTTGAGGCCTGTGAGAGCTGGGGATGTTTGCTGGGACAAGGCCCAATCTGGACTAATAAGTTTCAAAGTAAAAGAGAATTGGGATAGACCCTCTCACAGTTGATTCAAACATGCTCTTAACTCCATATATATGCATTTGAATTTGATGTTTCTGGTATGATCGTATAATCTCAAATGTTAATTATGAAGGAAAAAATTCAAACTCAGGGTCCAATGCTGGTTTTTTTTGGGGGGGGGAGGAATCAAAGTCTCAATCTGTCACCCAGGCTAGAGTGTAGTGGCACAATCACAGTTCACTGCAGCCTCGACTCCTGGGCTCAAGGGATTGCCCTGCTTTAGCTTCCTGAATAGCTGGGACTACAGGCACGTACCACCACACCTGCCAATTTTTTGATATTTTTTGCAGAGAGGAGGTCTCACTATGTTGCCCAGGCTGGTCCTGAACTCCTGGGCTCAAGCAATCCTCTAGCCTTGGCTTCCCAAAGTACTGGGATTACAGGCATGAGCCAGCATGCCTGGCTCCAGTGCTATCTGCTGCCTACTGAGTTATGCTTGCCTAGAGCTAAGAAGAACACAGACTTGCCACCAAACACCCAGTTACCCAGTCTTGGACCTTGGAGTTCCGGCTTCACATGGGAACACAGAATGTTCTAATCACTCACAGGCTATGCAGGCTGCATTTGAATAGCTTGCTCCTCTCTATTGAAATCCCACCCTTCACAGGAAAGCACCACAGCAACAGACTATTAAATTTAGTTAAATATTAGATTTCTCATTTAATGATTGCCCACACAACTGGTTTTATCAGCAGAGAGCTGACTGTCTCACAGGGGAGTTGAGTTAAGCCATTTTATTTGTTCCCATAATTGCATTCAAAGACGGTAGGAGCTCAGCAGAGAAATAAGAAAAGATTGGCATATTCCCTGAAGGACTCTTCTTTTGACTTCGGGGCAGCGGGGACCTCCAGTCTGGAGCATACAAATGGCCACTCCTTAATTAAACGTGAGCCCCCTCTAATATTTGGTGGAATTAGCTATTATCAGATCTGGACACGGCGAGACTGCAGAGACAAACGCCTGCTCACAAGACTGCTTCCTTCGCTGTGCCCAGTGGGCAGAACGTGGTATGGCCCCTGGTCTTGCAAGACATGCTTCCAAGTAGCCCACTTGGTTCAGGGGATTGGTGGAATCACCACTGTGCTAAAATTTTGGAAAACTGATAATGAGATCCTAATGGAAACCAATATACAACTGACCAAAAGAGGAGACGAGCAACCCGTTCCTCTTCTCACATTTCTTTTTAAAAGAATTTTTTTTAAATGCAGGATTTATTGAGAAGAGAAATGCTCCCACAGTGGGAGGGAACCTGGAGAACTTGCCCTCTTCTCACATTTCTACAAGAAGTAAAGCTGGCCAGGTGCAGTGGCTCACGCCTGTCATCCTAGCACTTTGGGAAGCTGAGGCAGGAGGATTGCTTGGGGCCGGGAATTCAAGACCAGCCTAAGCAACATAATGAGACCACAGCTCTAAAAAAATGTAAAAAAGCTGGACATGGTGGCATGTGTCTGTAGTCCCAGCTACTCAGGAGGCTGAGGCATAAGGATCACTTGAGCCCAGGAGGTTGAGGTTGCAGGGCTGTGATCGTGCCACCACACTCCTGCCTGGGTGATAGAATGAAACCCAACTCCAAAAAAAAAGAAGTAAAGCTGCAGGATTTTGTGTGTATGCATGAAGACATAGACATGAATCTGCAGCATCTCCCTGTTGCTTTGGTCTGACTTTTCCTG